AAGGCAGTAAAGGATGGCCCAAGTGCTTGGGTACCTGCACCTGCGTGGAAGACCAGGAAAAGCACCTGGCTCTTGGCTTCGGCTCGGCACAGCGCACCGGCCATTTGGGGGGTGTCTCTCTTTCTGTCTTAAAAAAAAAAAAAAAGACTAATTTATGAGACTTCTTAAAGAAATCTGATACATACAGGCATAGAGCTCTATATACTAATATCCAACAGATGTACTACTAAAATAATTATGGCAGTTACATAACCTTAAAAAAAAAAACACCTTTGAATAGTTCTTAAGATGTATCTTTTAAACTACTTTGCCTTAAAGACAAGGCTATCTAAGGCAATTACTTTTATTTTCTTGTCTAACATGATACTTAGAACTTAATTTCTTCATTAAAAATGGCTACAAAGTTCCAAACTGTAATTTTTATTTAAAACAGGAAGGCATATGAGAATTGCTACACTTAACTTTTCCAGCCTGGAAATTAACAAGTGAAAAAGATAAGTACCTCTAGTGGATTTATACAATATATCATTTACGGATCATTTTGAACTTACTGGCTAGTATCTAACATTATGGGTCCTAAATATGGTCCTTTCATTTAACCGAATGCAAGCAGCCAGCAAAGATTTTAAAATTCCCTTGATGGCCAAGTCAAGAATGAAAATTCACAACCAAGTATTTGAGAAACTAAGCACTACAATTGAAATCCTCTCTCTTCTGCAGCAAAACTTTCTTATAGATCTTTAGATCTCTGACCTCTACAGAGCCTCTTTATGGAAGACCGCTTGCTTCTCAACTGAAAGCAATCTAGCTTCTAATCCTATTCATTAACAGAATCTGTCTGGGAGTTCACCCATCAGTGTTTTCAAACCTTATTTTACTTGTAGCACTTGATACTGTAAACCACTGTTTTGATATCCTTAACTGCCAATGCCTTGTCTCCCTACCTTCTCTTCCTGACTTCTTTCTTTCCAACTCCTGAAATAACAGTACTCTTCAGTAAGCTCTACTTAGCCTCTTTTTTCATTCTGAGAGTTCTTAAGCACTCCAATAGTTTCACGTAACACAGGAGGAAAGTCTGGCCTGGTTTCAAGATATTTTGGGTTCTCTGTTTCCCACAAGCCACCCTCCAAACTGCTGCCAGGGTAATCTTTCCAGAATACAAATCCGACCAGATCATTCCTTGTGTAAATCTCATCTACAGTCCAAAATCTCAGAATGATTTTAAGTTCTTTATGATCTGACATGTGCTTACCTTTCTAATCTTTCCTTTCCCCTGCTCATCACAATTTACACATAGCTTTGAGTGTAGGTTTCTTTTCTTCAGTTTGACACAAATTTAAGTCACCTCTCCAGGGCAGCCAAAGTTACTTGCTCTCCCCTCTCGTTATGCACTCTTTGTACATAAATTCAGTAACTATCTACACTTACATCCGAGTTTTCAACAGAAACATCTGAAGGTATAACTGAAGTCAGTAAAACTAAAGACTAATAAAGACCTTAGGAACATGCACAAAGGAAAAAGATTCAATACATTAACAAAAATTAAAACAATGCAAGAACATAAAAGAAAAGCAATTATGACCTATGACTAATTTTCAAGGCTAAATGAAATCTCCTACCACTATTTTTAAGGATAGCTGGAATCACACACTAGATTTAGTTTTAAGCTTGTCAAGATTCAAGTTCTAACTGAAATCTGATTCAAAACAAAACAAGAGCTCTAAGTGAAAATGAAATGACTTTTTACTGATGAGAAACACTGGCCTAATTATGCTAACTCTCATCAGATTTGAAAGTTTAAAACAGTATTCTAGGGAGACTTAAGATAGACCAATGAAGTGTCTATCATTAAGAAAAAAGTTAAAATGAACAATGAAAATAATAAATACAACAGAATTTGGTTTATTCTATTTTTAAAGTAACAATTAGCATATCTTAATTATTACAGAAAAATAAATTATTGCAAAAAAAAAGAAAAAAAATAAGCTAAAACCAAATCCTCTACTTGAGCTACTTCATTTCTAGATTATGCAAATGAGCCACAGAATGACCCTCACTCTTTATACATTTAAAATAAAAGTCATCTTCAAATCACATAGTAGAAATATGAATTAAACTCAGTATAATTTTGACAAAGAAATCCAAATTAATAAAACTTTTGTTACAAATTTTGTTTGCTCATGTTACACAAGAGACTGGGAACAACGTTTTCCTTCTCAAATTCTTAGAAAGAACACTTCTAGAATAGATTAGTGATACTTCAGGAGGAAAACAATGAGCAGAGGGTCAAAACAAGCATCCTTTTCTTAAGTGCAGCATCTGTGAAAAGAAAAAGAGCAAGATGGCTCATTTCTGACAAGTTACTACAGAAGCCAAAATCACACAGGCAAACTGGTTATTGTCCTATAATTTTTTTGCAATATCATATGCCTGTTCATTAATAAAAAAAAAAGCATAAGCATAAAAATTAATGAAAGCACACAGCAGAGGCTCAAACTGGCAATGAAGAGGCAGAGAAAGGCCAGCACATTTGCCTCCTCTTTCTGTAACATAAAACAAATTCAGAAAAAGCTTGCTGAATGTGCATAGTTATCTTTTACTTATCTTGATTTGAGCATTTTATACTAAACTGTAATACATATGTTTTAATAGGTTTTCTGTTTAATTCAGAATGAAGAACAACAAAAAAAAATCCACGGAGAAGAAAAATACCTTGGGCAGTGGTTTCCTAACCTCAAGAGAATGCTTACTGTCTTCACAAAGTGAAATATACACATAATTTTGTCTGAAAGAATCCTTAAATGCTCCTAACTCAATTTTTATCACATAAGTCAAGCTTTTTAGCGCCCTAGCACCAAAAGCTACTTCCTACCTAAATGTACATTCTTTGTACCCCATATAGCGTGACATCTGGGAAAGACCATTCTTGCCTTAAGTATTCTATAAAAATAATTTTGAGAGTCTTCCAAACAAACGTCATTATATATACACTTCATATGTAATGAATATAATAAAAAATTACCACACAATGGAAATTACAACTAGTAATGAAAGTCCTCAGTAAACTACTTCATGCAATTATTGCAGAGTCAGGCATGGTCTATAAACCCATGATGAAACAGGAAACAAACTGATGACTGGTTCCTCAGCATAAATCTTAAGAAAACTCAGTAATGCTAAAAGATAACTGAAAAGTGAGAGCAAAAATATTTTGTTTTCCTTCTCAACTTGTCCATAATCTCCACCATACTTACACATTCTCCCCTCTAATTATTAAAACGCTGTTAAATTTATCTTTCTCTGGCTAGCCCACATCTAGTCAACATTAATAGTTACAAAATATCCAAAAGTGAACGGAGGAAATAGAGGAGTTAAAACTTTTAAAAACAATGTACGAATTTAAAATCTCTGAATTAACATGGCTGGTAAAAACACTGGGTCTCTCTTCCTGCTGCCCTCACCCTCCCTCTCCCACCCCACTTTAAAAGGCAGCATGAGAAAAAATATATCAAGAAAGGGTAAAAACAGAATCACAAGAACAGAATTATGAGGAACGAAACTTTACAATCCAAAGTGCAACATGACATAATCAATAAACAGTATTTCTCAAAATATTTACTATTTTTTCTCTCTTAAAATCGAAGTCAACTTCACATGAAGTTCCTGATCAGCGTAACAACAAAAAAAAAAAAGCCAACGAAAGTTGGACGTCTGGTTGGTGTACCATGACAAATCCGATTTGACAGTCTTAGAGCCTACCAGCTAACCCCGACCCGCAATACGTTAAAGAGCGACATACCCAATCAAGCAATTCTAAAGACACATCGCCGTCGTTTGACACATGACAATTAGCACAGAGCTTCCTTTATAAGAGCACACTGACACGGGGCCAAATAAGCGGTTCTGCAGGTTCAGAAAAGTTCCACTCATCTCACAGACCTAGCACTGACGCTAAAAGGAACTTCAGGGACACACCCAGGGCAGACCGCCACGTTAAGGATACAGCTCTTCCGCGGGGGAGAGGGCTCTCGCCAGCTCTGGCCGCTGCCGAATCCGGATCCCGCGCCTCCTCCCAGAGGTCTGCCCCCGGGCTTGCCTCCTCGCTCGCCCCCTCCGCGCCCCCGACTCCAGCGACTCCCACCCCTGTAAGGCCTGCCTCGAAAGCGGAAACGGTCCAAGGCGAGGTGGCTCCGCTCCCAGAAAGACGGCCGGGGGCTGCTTTCGGACAGCGAGCTCGAAGGCATCCGCACCGAGGGCGGGTGAGACCGGAACGGTTCTTTGGGCCGGTAGCTGCTGGGTCCCCTGAGGTGGCCGCGCTCCGACGCGTGCCGCGAGCGTGAGAAATTCCTCAGCTGCTGCCGAGAAGAGGACGATGACGAGGAGGAGCCAGCGCCTCCGCCGGATCCGCCGCCCCGGGCCGGGTGAGGAGGCCTTCGCCGCGGGTACGGCAACAGCCCGCCGCCGCTGCTGCTGCTGCTGCTCCGGCTCCGGATCTGGCTGTTGTTGTCGTCGTCGCTGATCTCCCCATCTTCAAGCTCCCCTTCTTCCTTCGGCGAGAGGCCGCTGGAGGCCGGGGCCGGAGTGTCCGCGGTCGCCATCCGGGCAGCTGCGGCTCCCGCACCACTTAGCCCTCCGTCCGGGGATCCGCCCGACAATTGCCTTCCTCCTCGGCCCTCTTCTTTCCTAACGGACCCGGTCGGTGCGGCCTTCCCGCAGTCGGACACCTAGCGGGCTCTGCTCCCCAACTTCCCCGCACCCCAGCTCCTCCTCGCCGGACCGTCGCTACCCCGTTCCCTCGCCTAGCGCCCCCTTGCTCTTCCGCGGCTGAGGTTCTTCCGCCTCGCGAGAAAGGGGCTCTAGCAGCGGCCGTGCCCGAGACGTCACTTCCTGCGCCTCGCAGGAAACGGGCCTCCCAACTCACGCGATAACAAAGCAGGTGACGCGATTTCAGAGGTTGGTGCGCGAGTCTCAGCGGCTTCGTCCTTCCGGCCTGTGGCTCACACCTACCGCCCGCTCGGGACTGGGTCAGCTGGGTGCGTGCCGGGATGGGCGGGCTCCTGTTAGCCACAGCTTTGAGAGATTCTTAGGACTTGGAGGGGGAAGCGCCTTTTCCTTTAATTGCTCCGAGGACTGCTGCCAAAGAAACGGAGTAGATCTACTCCCTTTTGAGGGAGGGAGCAGAGCGGGATTTGTCAGCCATGTTGGTGAAGGCAGACGAAGGCGACTGCGGCTCCTGGATGGTTGGCTCCGTGGGTTCTAACCCGCCATATTAATAAAGAGAACGGGGAGGTTGACCCCCTCTTCGCCCCCACACACAAGCCCTTCTTCCCACCCCCACTTTCGAGGCTAAGCGCAGTAGGTCCTTGGTCTGCCTCGATTGTCTAACCTGGGCCGGAAGCAAGCTTAGCAGCCGGCGCCTCAGAACAGGCTTAGAACAGCGCCGAATGAGGGGGCAAGGGAAATGCCGACCAATTGCGCCGCCGCGGGCTGTGCTACCACCTACAACAAGCACATTAACATCAGCTTCCACAGGTAACCTGGGCGGAGAGGAGTGGGACCGGAAATGGGAGTTCGAGGCTGGCAGTTGCTTTCGTGGAAGAAAAGGAGTAGCTTTCCCAGCGAGTTGCTAGGAATCATCATTTGGACCATTGTGTGTGAATCCTGAAATCTGTCCAGGTTTTTTTCTCCTTTCAGGGAAGGTTCACTTCTCTGAAAGGAATGCAAGTGCTGGATGGTGAGGGCCTCTTAGAGAAAAAGGCACAGGAGGAGAGCTTGAGTTGCTACTTCTACTCCTATAGATTAGATCAGGTTTTGACATAAAGGCGCCCTCAGGGTGAAAGATCGTCCCCATCACAGCGAGCAATCAATCACCTGTGAAGCCTGCTGTGTTCCCATTAAAATTAGGAACTTCTCACTACCTGAATTCACATGGGAAGTATTTAGATGTTTAATAGCCACACACAGTAACTCTGAGGAATTGAGTCCTCATTGATAGCCTTGGATTAAACGATGTTAATCAAAGTGCAAAAGATAAACCTCTTATTACAATAATAAAAACCCTGATTTTATTTTTCCTTCGTTTGTTTGAAGAGTGTTCTTACTAGTCAGAGTAGTAGAAAGAACGTAGGTTTTATTTTGCCTTCATTTGTTGGAAGAGCGTTCAAAATTCTTTAATTCTGTCAAATCAGAATTTCTGAAAGCACTTTGAACACTATCTTGAACAGTTACTCACTAAATGTTTCCCTTCTTTGTAAGTTGCTGGCAGGTGCCTAACAAAAGAAATATTGAAGTCATGTGAAAACAGTTCTGATTTTTGTATACCTCACAAGTTAGATGGTGTTAGAATGTAGGAATTTATATTCTTGATGTTTACCCTACCTATTACTCAATGTGGTCCCTATCCAAAGTGTCCATTTAGAAAAAAAAAAAATCTTGCAATGCTTCTATTTTTAAACTACTTCATTAAAAAGATAGTTCTATTGTTCATTCACCCATCAAACATACAGGTGAGATCCTAAATGCCTGACATTCTACCAAGACTTCACAAACATCTTAACCTTTCTGGAGTTTAGCATTTAACGGGAAGAGAAAGATATGTAATAACAGTTAATTGCCACAGAAAAGACAGAGAGACCTAATGGCCTTGGAAAGTCAAAGAACGCTTCTCAAAAGATGCTATGTTTCAGATGAGACCAAAGAATGACAGACCCGGTCCTCTATCTACTTAAGTATTCTCTGTTTCATTGGAAAGATCCTTAAGCCATGGAGGGTTTAAAAAGAATGGCCTGATTAGATTAGCATCTTAAAAAGCCCTGTGGCTGTAGTGTGGAGAATTACGTTGTTACTGAAAGTACTGGGCAAGTGTCATCAGAGATGAATTTGTTGAGAAAAATTTTTACAGAATGTTAATTTACCCACAGTTTCCTTCACAGAAGAATCCCATCAAAATGTCAGCTGAACTAAACACTGTCCTGCTTAGTTGATGTCAGCACTGGATTAAGGGAGAGGAGAGTTAATAAGGAAAAGTTGTTAGGAAGCTGTAGTAAGATCTGGACAGGTCACCTAGGGACCTATGCTGCAGAGGTATTGATGGAGAAAAGTGGACAGATTTTAAAAATACTTGAAACTTCTAGATTTGGTAATTTGATTTGGAAGATGAGAAAGATAAGTCCAGGCACCAATAACAATGTTGGAGAGATGCATGGTGGTACAATGACATGCATACAATTTGCTAGCTATGAATTTAACACATTCATGTATAAACTCAAAGTTGGATCTTAAAACAGCATTAATTATAAAAATACATCTATCTTAAAAAATATTTCATTAACTGACTCCTCTTTATGACACTAGTTGACTTTTTCATCCCTGTGTTACCTAAACTATCTCCATTTTTCTTACCTCTTATTCAGCCCATTCCATCTTTGGGTCTACCCAGTAATCTGAAACTGCCCTTGGCTAACATTTCCATATCTCTAGATTGATTTGTCATGGCATGTGACCATTTCCTCCTTGAGATAGTCTCTGCTTTTGAATTATTTAACATTGATTTTGTGATTTTCCTCTTTCTTGGCCCGTCTTCAATCTCCTCAGCAGCCCTTCTCTCCTATGCCCTAACCAAGGTCTTCACACTGTTGTCAGGATAATTTCAGCTATGCCTGTGGTCTCGTGAATATCCACTGCTCATTCTCATATCAGTGTCTCCTGTCCATATCTGTCTACTTAGTTACTGGTTTCTATCTGGTTCCTCAGATTCATCATCGGTACTGATGAACTGCCATTCCCCCAAATGGACTCCACTTCCTTTCTTCCTTCTCTCAGTAAATGGAAACACCATCCATCCAGAAACTTCAAAGTCATTCTTCCTTGACTTCTTACCACTCCTTCAGCAGGTTATTACAACAGCCTCTTAACTGGTTGACTGCATCCATTCGGGCTCTTCTAACCAGTCTACTGTTATCAGTGGTGTGTTGCTAAATGTTTAACAACCATCTCTCCGGGGAAGGGAAAAAGCCCTGATTTAACATCGAGTTTGCCTAATTTCTATGATTATAAATACTCTACCAAGGCTTATTTCAAGTTACTAATACATCACTGATCATGGAATTAGGAAAAGATGTGCAGTACTACACTGTTCTGCAGTACTTCCACCATACAGGCACAACAGACATAAATAACCTTAAGAGTGTAGATAGTAGGGGCTAATGTTGTGGCATGGTAGGTAGAGCCACCTCCTGCAACACCAGCCTCCCATCTGGGTTCTAGTTCGTGTCCCGTCTGCTCTGCTTTGGATCCAGCTCCCTGCTAATGTCCTGGGGAAAGCAGCAGATGATAGTCCAAGTACTTGGGCCCTGGACCTCTGCCACTCACATTGGAGACTGGAAGAAGCTTCTGGCTCCTGGCTTCAGCCTTGCCCAGCCTTTGTCACCATCTGGGGAGTGAACCAGTATATGGAAGAACTCTGACTCTGTGTACTCTGACTTTGAAGTGAATAAATTTTTTTAAGTGAAGATAGTTGTAAAAATCATCAGGAAAGTAAGGGTTTTTGAGTATTTTGGTTTTATTTAAATGTAAATTTATATTTTTAATAAAGGCTATGTTTAATAAGCAGTTCAAAAATATTCTGTTAACAGTCAGCTCTTGAAATTCAGCCCTTTAATTACTTATCAGTGCCATTTTTGATGAAGTTGAAGGCCCTCCAGCATTATTTCTAGTCTTACCACTCTTCCTTGTCCCCAGGATACTCTTAACACTCTTCAGTACTCTCACTCTAGCTTTTCTAATTCCTGCTCTTAAGCTCCTGACTCGATTGGTCCTTCCTGTTTTATGGCTCAATGCAACCCTGTACTTACCTGTTTATAAAGACTCATGAGACTTATAATTATTTTATAATAAGAAGTAACCATTAATAATTTACCACATACTGTAAATGAGGCCAAGCATTTACTAACATTTTCTCATTTAATCCTTAGAACCATTCCTACTTCCACTTTATGGACGATAAAAAAGGAGACCTGGGGCAGGTATTTGGCACAGTTAAGACGGGGTTGTAACTACTGCATCCCATATTGGAGTGCTTGGGTTTCCCAGCTCCTCTCTCTCAGTTCTAGCTTCCTGACAATGCACCATTTGAGAGGCAGCAGGTGATGGTTGAAATAGTTGGATCCCTGCCACCTATTGAGTTCTAGGTTCTCTTCACTTTTTTTTTTTTTTTTTTTTTTTTTTTTTTTTTTTTTTTTGACAGGCAGAGTGGACAGTGAGAGAGAGAGACAGAGAGAAAGGTCTTCATTTTGCCGTTGGTTCACCCGGCCGCTGCGGCCGGCTGATACAGAGCCAGGAGCCAGGTGCTTCTCCTGGTCTCCCATGGGGTGCAGGGCCCAAGCACTTGGGCCATCCTCCACTGCACTCCCTGGCCACAGCAGAAAGCTGGCCTGGAAGAGGGACAACCGGGACAGAATCCAGCGCCCCGACTGGAACTAGAACCCGGTGTGCCGGTGCCGCAGGCGGAGGATTAGCCTAGTGAGCCGCGGCGCCGGCTCTAGGTTCTCTTGATTTCAGCCTGACCCTGCCCTGGTTGTTGTAGGCATTCGGGGAGTGAACCAGTGAATGGAAAATCTAGTCCTGGTCGGGCACCGGATTCTGTCCCGGTTGCCCCTCTTCCAGGCCAGCTCTCTGCTGTGGTTCGAGAGTGCAGTGGAGGATGGCCCAAGTGCTTGGGCCCTGCACCCCATGGGAGACCAGGAGAAGCACCTGGCTCCTGCCTTTGGATCAGCGCGGTGCGCCGGCCATTGGAGGGTGAACCAACGGCAAAGGAAGACCTTTCTCTCTGTCTCTCTCTCTCACTGTCCACTCTGCCTGTCAAAAAAAAAAAAAAAAAAAAGTAAGGCATTGAATTGTTAAAGACACAAGCAAAATAGCATTATTTAAGAGACTAAGTAATTTTTGATGTTTCGAGAGCTTGGTATATCCATCTGGTACTAGCATATTTTTTAAATATGTATAGGATGTGTTTTTTAAATATACCCTTTTGACCAAAGTTTTCCTTTTCTTTTAAAAAAAGTTTTTTACTGGGGCCAATGTTGTGGCACAGCTGCTAAGTTGCTGCCTGTGATGTAGATATCTCATATTCAGAGCACTGCTTTGAGTCCCAAACCGCTTCCAATCCTGCTAATCTATCTGGAAAGACAGTAGAAGATGGTCCAAGTACTTGGCCCCTGGCACCCATGTAGGTGACCAGGATGGAGTTCCTGGCTCCTGACTTCAGCCCAGTTCAACCTGGGCTGTTGTGGCCTTTTGGAAGTGAACCAGCAGATGGAAGAGCTCTCTTCTGCCTCTCTGTCACATTGTCTTTCAAATAAATAAGTAATGTTTAAAAAAATTTTTTACTTATTTGAGAGAAAGAGAGAACTTTGATTTGCTGCTTCACTCCACCAAATATGTGCAATAGCTGGAATGTTTCCAGGCCAAATCCAGGAGCTGGAGTTCAATCCAGGTTTTCCACATGGGTGGCAGTGACCTGCTGCCTCCCAGAATGCAGATTAGCAGGGAAGTAGAGTCAGGAGAAGAGCCAGGACTCAAGCCCAGACACTCCAACATGGAATGCGGGCCTCAAGTGGTATCTTACCTGCTTGGTCATATACCTACCCCAGTGATCTTTTATTACTTAAATTCAGCTTATGGGCTACATCTCTCACCCTTTGAAGGTACTGAGAAAAATCTAAGCAGTACATTCAAAACATGATTAAGGTTAATGCCATATAAAAACAAAAAACAAATATAAAACTGTTTCTGCATAGGTAATCTAAAGATGACTTAGCAATGCCAAATTAACCCCATTAGTTCAAGTATTCATTGGGTCATATAGGACTATTATTTAAATAACATGTACTACCCTAGATACTATGCTAGACCTAGGGATAGAGTAATGAAAAAAAGCTCCTATCTTGGAATTTAGTGGGGGAGACAGAAAAGTAAGCAATTAAAACAAAGTGATGTTCAGGAGGGTATTTGGGACACCCACATGCTCCATGAGAGTTCCTGGGTTCCAGTACTGGTTTCATTTCCAATTCCAGGTTTCTGCTGCTGTGTACCCTAGCAGACACAATAATGGTTAAGCCCAAGAAGTTGTATTTCTGGGCCAGCGCCATGGCTCACTTGGATAATCCTCCGCCTGCGACGCCAGCAACCCATATGGGTACCCGGTTCTAGTCCCAGTTGTGCCTCTTCCAGTCCAGCTCTCTGCTGTGGCCCAAGAATGCAGTGGAGGATGGCCCAGGTGCTTGGGCCCCTGCACCCGCATGGGAGACCAGGAGGAAGCACCTGGCTCCTGACTTTGGATCAGCGCAGTGCCAGCTGTGGTGGCCATTTGGGGAGTGAACCAATGGAAGGAAAACCTTTCTGTCTGTCTGTCTGTCTGTCTCTCTCTCACTGTCTGTAACTCTACCTGTAAAATACGTAATAATAATAATAATAATAAAGAAGTTGTATCTCTGCCATCCGTGTAAAAGACCTGGCTTGAGTCCTGATCTCTTGGCTTCAGCTTAGCTCAGCTTTAGTTGTTGTGAGCATTTGAGGAGTGAACCAGAGGATGGAAGACTTCTCTCTGTCTGTCTGTCTCTCTATCTTTTAAGTAAAAAATGAATAAGAACAAAACAATTTTTAAAAGAACTGTGATATTAATGATATGTGATATAGCAACATCTAATGTAGTCTTCTGATCATGAAACACTTTCTTAGAGGGGATTCCTAAAGTCTGAAAAGAAGGAAGTAGAATTTGATCAAGTTAAGGTTCAGTTTGAGGCATTGGTTTCATAATTAAGGATCTTCAACTCAGGGTATGTTTGGAGTTCAGGGGACAGGAGATGGAAACTGTTTACTGTGAATTTGGACTTTGATCTTTTGTGCCTCTCATTGCTGGGAATGTGAGCAAACCTAGTACAGTCAACCCTCTGTAACCAGGGTTCCATAAATTTAACCAACCGAGGGTCAAAAATATTTGAAAATGAAATTGCATCTATACTGAACACGTACGGACTTTTTTGGGGTCATATTCTCTGAGTACTACAAATAACAAATATTTACATATCATTTATATTTTATTAGGTATTAAAAGTAATTTAGGGATGATTTAAAGTATATAACAGGATATATGTATAGGTTATGCAAATGAGCCAATTTTTATAAGGGACTTGAACATCGACAGATTTTGGTATCCATGGGGTTCCTGGAACCAAACTCCCATGGAAACCAAGGGACAGCTATATATGAGATAGAGTCAAAGATTTTTGCCTTGTAAGACTTGCATTGGGGGCTTCATAATCTTCTAACATGGATTTATGATTCTTTCTAAACAATTAATAGTTATAGGATAAGGTAGTCTAAAGCATTGAACTTTAGAATGTTGATTCTTACGTTTCCAAGCCAGTCAACATAGTTACCAGTAGAGTTTTTAGAGACAACCCCTTGTATTCACCTCATCTTTAACAGGTAACACTGAAGGCGTATTCATATATTTTGTGTTTGGAATAAATATTAAAGGAAAACGTTGCTACAAAGCTTTTTACTATTTTTATAACTAAGCTTTTTTGCTCTACTACATAACAGGTTTTTTAATATATATAGTTTTTTAATATGTAATATATGGAAGAAATTCAGTGAATTACTAGTTCAAATATTTGATATTTGTATTAATTCAGCAAATGTATCTTGAGTCTCTACTGCTTGCATGCAATGTGTTAAGTGTTAAATAGATGAAAAGATATAATACCTGTCTTGAGGAAACTTTTGTATTTCACTGGAACCTTATTAAAATGTAACAATGTTAGGTGTCATAAAAACAGAACACAGAGATAGGAGAATTATGATCTGCTTCAGCTTTTCTTGATAAAATTCCATCTTTAGATACATGATTTCTCTTGACCATTTATATTAGTAAATCAAAGCATTTGAAATTACTCCTGCTTATAATAGTTTAAATAAACTTCATCTAGGCCAATTCAGTCATTTTTCTTTTACTGCCCATGTTAAGGAATAGAGTAAGAAGGCATGTCTGTTGGGAAAGTCCTGAAAAATAAAAGCACTCAAATAAATTTTTGCTAATTTTTTCAAACTTACAAAAATTAGCATGAATTTTGTTCCAGTGTCTGGATGTTGTTTTAAATTTTTTATATAAATGGGAAATACTTTAAACCATTACTTTTTTAATTTGTTTTACCATTCAGGTACAGTCACACAAGTAGGATAGAATTTGAATTGCCTTTTTTTTTTTTTTAAAGGTTTCCTTTGGATCCTAAAAGAAGAAAGGAATGGATTCGCCTGGTTAGGCGCAAAAATTTTGTGCCAGGAAAACATACCTTTCTTTGTTCAAAGCACTTTGAAGCCTCCTGTTTTGACCTAACAGGACAAACTCGACGGCTTAAAATGGATGCTGTTCCAACCATTTTTGATTTTTGTACCCATATAAAGTCTGTGGTAGGTAATGTTGCTCTCCTTTGTACCATTTTTAGAACCTGTTTCTTTTTGTTTATACAACAACTTAGAGTACACTAAAATTCATATATATATCGATATGCCACGAGAAAATTGCAGTCTGTGCTCTTATGCCATAAAGGTTCAGGCTAGAATTAGAACTCAGTCTGTTGACTCCAATTGTCTTTCCTGAATCCGAACTGTTTTACTGTATTGGAGTTTTACATTGCTACCAGTTTTTATTGATCAATGTACCATTGGTGTGATTTGAGAAATAGGAATAATGAAACCTTTGGTATCACTCTGCTCTGATTTCAAGATGATAGGCAAATAACAAGTACTTTAAGAGCAGCACACCCAGAGTTACCTCAAAGGATATAAGTTCAGAGTGAGGCATAACAGAAAAGTTCATAGAACTCCAGCAGTTAGGACAAACTTGTGAGAGGGTTCTTGACCTTGCACAAAACAATTGCAGTTTCATGAGTAGAATAAATGCCTATGGGTTGAAGTATGAGTTGAAAATAATCAAATGTTAGCAACTGAAAGGAAATAGGAAAGGTACAGAATGAATTCAGACTGTTTTACCTGGTTAGAGAAGACCTGGTCAGTGAGGAAGAGCTAAGCTAAGAAAGAGAGGGATGCCAAAAGGTAAGAAGGAATAGAATGAACACAAATAGAGTTTAACTTTGAAAAGGAGGACAGTTTCCTCTGAAAGAAGAAAAACCACTGCTTTTCTTAAGTGTGAGTTAAATTTGCAAATGTACCTGTATTAATGTCTAAATGTGAAAGGAGGCTGAAATAAAAAGGTTTCCACAGGTATTAGAAAAGCTCCAGGAGAGAACTTTTTCATTTTTTTGAGAAAGATTATTTATTGCTTTAAAATGCAGTTACAGAGCGAGAAGGAGAGAGACAGAGAGTGAGATCTTCTGTCTACTGTTTCATCCCCAGATGGTTGAAACAGCCAGGGCTAGGCCAGGCCAAAGCCAGGAGCTGAGAACTCCATCTGGGTCTCCCATTTGGGTGGCAGGGGCCCAAGAACTTGGACCATCCACTGCTTTTTTTCCTAGGCACATTAGCAGGGAGCTGGATCAGAATTGGAGCGGATGGGATATGACCCAGGACCCATATGGGATGGCAGCATTGCAGGCGGTAGCTTAACCTGTTAAACCACAATGCCTGCTCCTGTTCCTCACTTCTGACTCCTCAACATTTCTTAAGAGTGCCTAGCACATAGTATGCCCTCCGATATTTATTGAATTTGAAATGTGCCTCATTTTTGACATTTTGATCATTTAATCATCCATCAAATACCAAACTTAACATTATGCTAGGATTTAAGTCAGATGCTGGGGATATAAAGATCAAGAGTCCTTGGAGTGGGCATTTAGTATAGTAGTTAATTTGCTATGTTGAATTTCTTCTTCCAAATTGGAGTGCCAGGGTTTGAGTCCTGGCTCTGATTCTGATTCCAGCTGCCTCCTAATGTGCACTCTGAGAGGCAGCAGATGATGGCCTAAGTATTTGGGTCTGTAGCACACATGAGGGAGACCCCAAATTGAGTTCCAGGTTCCTGACTTCAGCCTGGCCTAGCTCTGGCTGTTGTGGGCATTTGAGGGGTAGACCAGCAGATCGAAGATCTCTGTGTATCTGCTTTTCAAAAAAATATAGAGTCCCTGCCAATTCCTTATGCAGAGGAACCAAGAGTTCACTCACAAAAACAGATACCATATTTGTCTTATTTGTTTACCATCATGTCTGCAGGAATGCATATTATGTTTCAATAAATGTTTATTTAATGAATGAAAAACACAAATTTAAGAGAATATGATATAATCTGGTAATTATAAGTGGTTTAGTATTGCTAGAGTGCAATCAAGACAGTGAATGACAAAATAGGGCAAGATCCTCAATAGTATAATATGCTATGCATAGGTAATAGGTAGGCAAGGAAGATTTGAACCAGCAAAGGAAGGTCAAATCTGCAGAAAAACTTATTCTGGTGGCAGAATAGAGGTTAGTGAGAATCAAAATAAGGGGGAGAAATCAGTCAGGAGCTAGATAGGATATAGGCCTGATGCATGAAGAATAATGGAAAGGATTCATGATAGAAATATTTAGAAATAATAGGACTTCATGACTGTTTGCATGAAAGATAACAAAAGAAAAAAGAGTCCTTAGATTTCTGATTTGGACAAAAAGTTCCTAGCCAGATTTTAATGCTTCTTCTGGGTCTTGCATATGGTTGGAGGAGCCTAAGGACTTGTGTCATCTTCAGCTGCTTTCCCAGGCACATTATTAGCAGGGAGCTGGATTGGCAGTGGAGCAGCCGGGACTTGAACCAGTGCCCATATGGATGTCAGCTTTGCAGGGGCAGCTTAACTTGTTACCCACAACACCAGCCCTGAGATTTTAAATTCTTGAGGATGTTACTGTGAGCAATTAATAGATAAATCAAGCTTGATATTTGAAAATATGTTTCTATAGATTCTTAAATTTTTATTAAGTAGGGCCCTAGATCTGAAATATTCATCAAATTGAGAGAATAGTATTTAAGTAAAAAGAGTATTAAACCTGTATCACAAAGAAAGGTTAACACACATTCTAAACTGGCCTTGGTAAGAGAATTGCGATTGTTTAATCTCCAGAGAGACTTACACTCAGTACTTTGGAGAGACCTTAGAAGGCCACTGTTTCTCCCTCCCTCCCTCCCTCCTTTCCTCCCTTCCTTCCTTCCTTCCTTTTTTAAAGATTTATTTATTTATTTGAAAAGCAGAGTTACAGAGCGGCAGAGAGAGGTCCTCCATCTGCTGGTTCATTCCTCATATGGCCATAATGGCCAAAGCTGGGCCCATCTGGATCCAGGAGCTTCCTCCAGGTTTCCCATGTGGGTGCAGGGGTCCAAGCACTTGGGCCATTCTCTACTGCTTTCCCAGGCCATAGCAGAGAGCTGGATCAGAAGTGGAGCAGCCAGGACTTGAACCAGCGCCTATATGGGATGCTGGCACTGCAGGCGGTGGCTTTACCCGCTACACCACAGTGCTGGACCCGTAAGTCCCCTGTTTGTTTCTAAATCCATTTTTCAACCTCTCCAGAGATGACAAAAAGAAATAGGTGACTAGAGTGTATTCAGCTATATGAGAAACTTAATGAATGCTTATATGAGATGGACTGCTGTTGCTTCCCATCAGACTTTTAAAAGCAATTTTATCTAAAACGACAGTATGTAGTTATTTGTATCATCCATAATTTATGTTTAATCCTTTAATTTTATTTGGATCAGAAACTCAAGTCAAAGAATCTTTTGAAGAAAAACAACAGTTGTGCTCCATCTGGACCGTCTAATTTAAAATCAAACCTAAATACTCAACAAGTACTACTTGAACACAGTTATGCCTTTAGGAATCCAATGGAGGCAAAGAGGAGGATAATTAAGCTGGAAAAAGAAATCGCAAGCTTGAAAAGAAAAATGAAGACCTGCCTACAGAAAGAACGTAGAGCAACTCGTAGATGGATCCAAGCCACGTGCTTGGTGAAGAATTTAGAAGCAAATAACATATTACCTAAGGGCACATCAGAACACATTTTACCAACTGCCTTAAGTAGTCTTCCTTTGGAGGATTTTAAGATTCTTGAAGGAAAGCAACAAGATAAAACACTGGCAGTTACCTAAATCTAACACAGATGAAGGGCACCTTCACTGAAGTTTAGCTTGCACAGAACTTGATGTCCAATCTTCATTCTTTTTGGAGGCAAAGATATTTATGGTAATTATGCTGAAGTTGATTATTAATAAAGCTTTACTTGAAGTACCATTACTGTATAACTTATAAAGACTTGATTACAAAAAAAATTTTATGAGGCTTTTATTTGAAAATTATTCGAAGTGCCTTACGTTAGAATTACATTCTTAAAATTTTTGCTAGGAAATTACTATGTTTGCGAGATGTTTTGTATTTATTTAAGCTACTGTTAAAGAACAGCATGTAACACATAATATGTGTAATTTATATTAGAAAAAGAATCCTTGTCCAGTTCCAAAGTTGGAAAATTAAATTCTAAATAAGATGCTAAGTAGTAGCTAACCAACATTAAATAGTGATCTTAAAACTGTTGGGGTTTGGGCCGGAGCCGTGGCTCACTTGGTTAATCCTCTGCCTGCAGAGCCGGCATCCCATATGGGCACTGGGTTCTTGTCCATTTGCTCCTGTTCCGGTCCAGCTCTCTGCTGTGGCCCGGGAAGGCAGTGGGGGATGGCCCAAGTGCTTGGGCGCCTGCACCCGTGTGGGAGATCTGGAAGAAGTACCTGGCTCCTGGCTTTGGATCGGCGTAGCTCCGGCTGTGGTGGCCATTTGGGGGGTGAACCAATAGAAGGAAGACCTTTCTCTCTTATCTCTCTCCCTCGCTGTCTAACTCTACCTGTCAAATAAAAAAAAAAAAACTGTAAAATATTTTGGAATGTGTAGTATCCTTGAATCATCCAAATTTGATAAGGCCTCAAGTACCTCAGACTGATAAAAATCCGTAGCTGACTATATTGACTTTACAAACATGTAATATACATGTTTCAGGATCTAGCTTTACCTTAATTAAACAATAGAGAAACACATATGACTCTTCTTATAATAAAAATACTATATTTACATCTTCAAAATTGATGTATTAGTAAGCACATGTGTTAGCAAATTCTGTATTAGGTACTTCTGCTCCTATAAGTGTTGATACTAAAACTCAAGCTTTTTTTTTTTTCTTCTTTTTAACTTTCTAAATACATTCTGTATCTCAGAAATAGCATATCTGCATAGTAGACTTTTTCCCCTCCCTTTTCATAAACCAGCAGCACTTAGAGTATTACATCTAAATAATTCATAACCAAAAATAGGATCTATCTTACACATAAGCTTGCTTTTTATTTCCTTTTTCAGTAAGTCAAATAGAGCAACCGTAGTGCAATTGGGAAATGAAATGTAGTTCTTATATGTTTTTGATAAAGCTGTGCAAATGCTGATTATTTTATAAAACAACTCTTTTGTGGTTGCCACATGACTATTAAAGTATTTGCCTTATTTCACCAAATATTTAATAAAAATTATTTCCTTCAAACAGCTTTGTTCCAATCATGTAAAAACATATTAGTATATCATCAAGTTATTTAATCCTAATTCAAACTTGTGATGCTACCATATGAAAGCATATAGCTGATCATAAATTGGTATAAATCTTTCCTGTAAAGTAATGGCTACTTTGATAAAAAGAAACTTTGGTCAGCAATTTGGGTTCCCCTACCCCTTTTTTAAAATGATATTTGCTTGGATCCTGGTAACAATCTTTTGACAATGTTAGCACTGTTTTAATAAGGAATGTCTCAAGCAAATGCAAAGGTAGGAAGAAATTTTCTTAGTTCTCATGAGGTATTTACAGCAAATATTTTCTGAAAATCCTTCCGTGGGTGGTATTTCTTAAGTTGTTTTATCTTTGTCATAAGTACTGGATGTAGTTCCTTGAAATTGTCATTATATGTATTTTAGTATGGTTTCAAATACCTTTTCAGTGGTATAAATTCATCAGCAAATACTAACTGCATCTGCTTTATAATATAGGCAAAATTTAAGTTGGGGCAATAATCATTTTAGCATAAACTGTGTTTTCCAGGACACTCATGTGGCTTACCTCCTACTCCAAATACAAAACAAACACTATTTTATTAATGTAGCCCAATTCCCATTTATAATAATTATGTTGTATAATATTTTTAAACCATTAAGGCATAAAATACGGAAGCTTTTGGCAAAATTACTGTTTTCATTATTATTTGACACCATTGAATAAACTGCCACTCAGTTTTAGAGCCAATCTTCTGTGTGCTTTCTCTTTGTCATTTTCATTGTTAGTATCCTGACAGCATACTCCAAATCCTCCCCACTAACATCAGATCACTCTATTCACATTTATTTGTCTGCCATAAAGATTAATTTCATTTTCAGAGAAAAACCTAACAGGGGTCTCTTAAAATCTTCAGTTTCACAATAGATTCCTTATCATTCTAACCAAATACCATAAAGCTAATCAAAAGTACAGTTTTTCCTCTGCTGGACACAACACAGATGCTTTCATCCTATGTCATGACTTCTTACAAACAAGTCAAAGGCTAAGAACAAAAATGAATGGAGACATGATTTTCTGCTCAAAGTGTCCTGAGAGAAACAATGCAATATGATAAATACTATAAAAGAAATAAGTGCAAGCTATGCTTTGGTAAATCCTGTTGAATTAGAACTCAGAACACAGAAACTTCAGAAATTTTTAAAATCAAATGATTTTTTAAAAATAGATGTCTTACAATGATTTACCAAAGGAAATAGGGCATTGGTGTTTGATGTGAACTAGTATTATCTTTAATAAGTCACAGTATATTTTTATCCTTAAAAAAAAAAACGAAGAACTTTATTACTGGTATCTGTTAAAAGGAAAACATGCCTATTAATAAAATAATACATCAAGGCCAAATACTAGAGTTTATTTAAAATTTGATATTTTATACATAACAAACCCTATTAATGCAGATTTTTAAAAATAATTTAACGCAGTCTTAGAAAACATTTTGGCACCCACTCATTCTTCTCTTTCTTACAAACATTCTGTGTGGTATTATTTCTGACTTACACAGGAAGAAATTTTTGTAATAAATTTATTTGTAATTTATTAATTATATACCTACTTGCACAAGGGTAGAAATAGCTTGTGATCTAGAAAGTTCTGAACTGAACACGGGTCTGTCTCCAAATCTCTGCCCTCTATAGTTAACCCTCCATTTAACATATGGATCATGTTTTAAAAATAGGACAAATCATGTGTCCCAAAAAACAAGATAGAATACATAAAGGTAACATCTGAGGTCACTGTTGATATTTTCTAGGTGGACTTCATAATGTTGGTATTTTTATCTCTTCTCAATGTTAGAATATGGGTTAATATTAATTTTGGTAAAATAGAAGAAAATGGTTCATGTGGGATTCTTTTGGTATTTAGTTGGAAATTTCTAAAATTAAGGATTTTGTAGTGTATATTAAAGTTACATATTGTATTCTTAAAAATGTATTCCAAGAATGTTGATATTAAAAACTTTTCTCCTAGGAAATTACTGTCATGTCTGTTATTTCAAAAAACTGCACAAAAATTTCTGTGGGAGTCCTTCCTGCTAAATAACTCCCAAAAAGACTTCTACAAGGACTCCTCCCTAAAATGAAGCAAATTGTAAACCAAGTAAATATAATGAAAGCCTTGAAGGGGAAGTATTTTTACTTTTATTGCTCAAGTTATATCTAAATGAGAATTACTGTTTATTTTCACTGTCTTAAATACAGGTTATGCAGTCTAGACTGGATACGAGGGGCTATAAAGACTCTCTGTAATAGTCTTTCCTGAGAGTAATTTGAGGCTCACACAAAAATTTAGATGTGATTATCAAAGCATTATTTTAATAGCAAACAGGAAGTGAGAATGTGATTTTTTCTGGTTATTAAAATAGTGTTTTTAATAATTCAAGAAATACTATCTTAACATTTACTAAGAAACATTGGGCAAACCAAAATGAACACAACAAACATGGTCCTTATCCTTAAGGGTATGGGAAAAACTACTGCCCTCACTGTTTTCCGCTTGCTCCCTAATGCCCTTCAGTATGAATTGAGAGAACAACTCAGTCTTCAAATTGCTACTTAGCTGTTCAAAATTTATGCTCCAAAATTATAAATAAATAAAATCTTTGGGTTTAATGTCAAGAACACAGGGAGGTATGTACCTACTTCTGGTGGTCAGTTTTAGAAACTTTAGCAATTATTCTAAACTTTGTCATCTTTAACTTAAAATTTCTGTTGTACTGCTCTTCTACAACCAAATCTTTACAAATGTGCTTCCCTTAGGTTGGTCACTTAGCAATCTCCTTGTGTGACCCCTAAACATACTACCATGACAGAAGTGCGTTTCTCCTGCGTCCTTTTTGATGTGTAACATGGCTAAAGTCGTCTTATTAGAATGTAACTGTCCATGCTCTTTATTTCTCCAAGAGAAAGACTGTGTGTTGTGATTTTTTTTTTTTTTTTAGCCTCGGGGGTGAACTATGTATGAAATTCATTAGCAGATTTCAGGAGATGTAAACTTTGGGTTAGATTCAGAAGCACTGTACATAGAATCCACTGATAAATTTTTTTAAAGATTTATTTATTTATTTGAAAGAGTTACACACAGAGAGGAGAGGCAGAGAGAGAGAGAGAGAGAGAGAGAGAGGTCTTCCATCCAATGGTTCACTCCCCAGATGGCCACAACAGCCAGAGCTGTGCCGATCCAAATCCAGGAACCAGGAGCTTCTTCCAGGTCTCCCACGTGGGTGCAGGGGCCCAAGGACTTTGGGCCATCTTGTACTGCCCAGGCCATAGCAGAGAGCTGGATTGGAAGTAGAGCAGCCAGGTCTCCAACCCGCGCCCATATGGGATGCCAGTGCTTCAGGCCAGGGCATTAACCTGCTGCGCCACAGCGCCTGCCCCAACTGATAATTTTTTCTAGTAAACAGTAAATGCTTTTTGCAATTGTTAAGGACAAATAGTCCTGGGCCATCCAACACTGTACTCTCGGGCCACAGCAGAGAGCTGGACTGGAAGAGGAGCAACCAGGACAGAACCGGCGCCCCAACCAAGACTAGAACCCGGTTGGTTGGTTGGTTGGTTGATTTATTTGGAAAGGCAGAGTTACAGAGACGCAGAGGCAGAGAGAGAGGTCTTCGATCCACTGGATCACTTCCCAGATGGCCGCCACAGCTGGAATCCAGCCCTTCCAAAGTCAGGAGCCAGGAGCTTCTTCACGGTCTCCCATGCTGTGGCAGGGGCCCAAGGACTTGGGCATCTTCCCCTGCTTTCCCAGACCATAGCAGAGAGCTGGATCGGAAGTGAAGCAGCCGGGACTGGAACCCGCGTCCATATAGGATGCCGGCACTGCAGGCTGCGGCTTTACCCACAGCGTGGGCCCCTGAAACACTTAACGCTGTCAGCAATTGACTGAAAATTTCCAGAAATACAAGATAATATCGTTTATTTACTGTTAATCAAGCGCACAAAATTCAAATAAAGCATGCAGTCACAATGCTTGGACTGTTAACGGTAACAAGACGTTTGGCTTTCTAACTCAATTAATTGAATGCATAGACTTTAAACATGAGGGATGTGGCGACAGATATCTGCGATGTAAGAGATGGACAAGTGACAATTATGTGAGGGCTCCGTAGCAGTAACTATATTTAGCTTTATCTTTTTTGTTTTCCAGCAGCCAGCAAAATCTGGCCCATTATAGGTACTAAGATGTTTTAAATTACAATTTATCCCCTACATTCCTCCCCAAATCCGTAACATTTGGTATGAACCCCTCATAGATTAAAAAGTATTCAAATATGCATGTAACGGACTTAACTGGGTCTAAACTCACTTCATTTCGTTATCCTGTTACTACCCTGGTGGTGGTTTCATTTCTTGGCACTTAGGACGTCCCACAACCGCAAGGACCTAGGTTTCCAGAAGCCTGGACTACGGAGAGCATTACTGCCAGCGCCGCACACCCGCGTGCCCGCAGTCCCGCGGTGGACCCAGCATCGCCAGCTTGCCCTTTAAATGCTCACGTAAGCTGCGCCGGGAGCGCGGGCGGCCGCGGCGCATGCGCGCGAGCGGTGGCGGTGCTGCGGGACGCGCACTGGGCTCCAGGGGGTCTCAGCCCCGGGCCCGGGGGTGGCTCTCCGGGCGGGACCACGCTCGGCCAGGCGGGCAGTCTCCCGAGACTTGCCCAGGTTCGAAGGCCCACGCGGCCCGTCAGCGCGTGGAGCTCTGGGGAGGCCCGACCGGTAGCTGGGGTGGGGCGGGCAGACCGGGGCCGCTGGGGGCGGAGCCCGCGGGCCTCGGGCGCACCGATTGGCTGCCGCGGCTTCTCCTGTCTGCTTCCTGGTCTCGAGGTTCAGGTGTGGAGAGCTCGGCAGCCGGGAGCCGGCCTCGGGCTTCGCGCGGGATGCGCTCTGCTTTTCCGGCGATGCCTTAACCACCGCCAGCCGAGTTTAACCTGATACTGTTCTCTTCGTGTTTGGTCGGTGGAAGACGGCGTCTGTGTTTGCTTCTAAACGAGTGTTTCGCCAGCAACTCCAATGACTCTTTTTTTCAGAAACGCCGTCTGTTTCATCCCTCAGGTGCTCGTGTCTTGTTTTCCATGACAGATCTTGACGACAATATATGCGAAAGATACGTCAAGATGATAACAAATATAGTTATATTGAGCCTGATCATTTGCATTTCTTTGGCTTTCTGGATTATGTCAATGACGGCAAGCACCTACTATGGTAAGTGTGAATGTTCTGTGTTTTTCTGTAATCTGGTGGAATTTGAAATGGTATGACTGTAAAATCCAAAACTCATTTTGTCCTGAATGGTTGTGTTAACTTCCACAACCTGAATGAGGCTTCCCTAGCTTGGTAACATAGAAACGGTGCCTTGAACATTTTGAAGCTTTGAATAAATTTTTTTTTGTTAGAATACTTACACCTATACAAGATGTCTTAATGTTTTATGTCTTTAACAAGTGAGGTGCAATGCAGTTTTGTAAAGTAATTACAGTGAGATTTTAATTATGAATAAAAATATATCAGTTTCACGTATCCTATAAAAACTACAAAAAGACAATATAATGTTTACATTTGGCACTTTGAATGACTTGTGTTTTGGTCACTTCAGAAGAATAGACTTCTTTTAAAACCTGAAGCACTTTGCATAAATTTAGGGTGTTCTCAGAGCATAAGCCTGTGCACACTGCTGTGGTACCTCTCTGAAAACAATACCCTTCAGTTCACAACAAAGGAAAAGGTAAAAAGGAAACTTTCAGAAGTGATTTTTTACAGACCTGTGTCCTTTTGCAGAGAGACATATGAGTGAGTAATCCAGTTGGTGTTTTCCAGGTTCCAGAAGCCCTCGGGGCTGTTCATTCAGAGTGCTTTGCAGTAAGGGGTGGGATCATGGGGATGAGAAGATTCTTGCTGGTGTCAGTATTAACTTGAACTAAATAGAATACGCCAGTAAACTGAAATGTGCCCCTGGGGCCATGCCCCTGATACAAAAGAATGCAGGGGATACAGGTTTTTGCATATGAAACTCAGCAATGGTTTTCACTCTCAGAAATGGGATTTTTCCCACTTGTATTGGGCATTTGGCCCTTTTTGTGTGCTGTTTTCATGTTTTTGATAGAAACATGGACACATGCAGCAGTTCACGTTTGTCTTTGCTGTGAGTGGCAGGGACTTCAAACAGGAAAGCTGTGGAGTCTGAAGAAGGTGGCCTCTCTTCACTTTTAGTTAGTTCTACCAGAGCTTTCAGTTTTTAAAACAAACCAAGGGCCTAGATCTTTATATGAAATAGCCTAATCTTTAAATTGTTTGGAAACGCTGTGCCAGCCAAACCAAACATCTGTGAGTTAGATAGAACCATTGAAAAAAACCTGCTTCTAACCATTGAATGAGGTGTGTATCGAGACATCTTACTTGATTTAGAAAAGCCTATCTGACAGAAATACAGTAATTAGATTCTCTTAAGAAACGAGTTTGTTCGCTGTAGTCCTTGAAACTTAATATGTGCCTCCTTTCCGGGAAAGGAAGAAGCACGGGTTCATTTAAAATCTCCAAATACCCAAGTTTGAAATACCCATCATTATAATTAGCTGTAAATTGTTCTTTTTTTTTTTAAAGGTTTATTTATTTATTTGAAAGTCAGAATTACACCGAGAGAGGAAGAGGCAGAGAGAGAGGTCTTCCATTCACTGGTTCACTCCCCAATTGGCTGCAACGGCTGGAGCTGCGCCGATCCGAACCCAGGAGCCAGGGGCTTCTTCCAGGTCTCCCACGCGGGTGCAGGGTGCCAAGCACTTGGGCCATTTTCCACTGCTTTCCTAGGACATAGCAGAGAGCTGGATCAGAAGTGGAGCAGCCAGGACTCAAACCCACGTGCATGTGGAATGCCGGCACTGCAGGCGGTGGCTTTACCTTCAGCGCCATAGCACACTGTATCCCCTGCATTCTTTTGTATCAGGGGCCTGGCCCCAGGGGCACATTTCAGCTTACTGGCTTATTCTGTGTAGTTCAAGTTAATACTGACACCAGCAAGAATCTTCTCTCATCCCCAGTTCTTAAAACTTAAAACAGTAACATATATTATGTTACTGTTTCTCAGTAAGATTGCCCCTTCTGAAAATATACATCTCAGCCTCAGTATTTGACTGTGGTGACTAATCTTGGTTTCCATATTTATGGTACTATTTTAATCCAAAAAGCAGTTATCAAAGCCTACTGCTAGGACTAATCTATCCAGACTTCACACAATTTGTGCTCCACCTTTCTAATCCTTCAGGTAATTTGCGACCTATTTCTCCTTGGCGTTGGCTGTTTTCTGTTGTTGTTCCTGTTCTGATCGTCTCTAATGGCATTAAAAAGAAAAGTCTGGATCACAGTGGGGCTCTCGGAGGTATGTTTTCATTTGAATGTTTAAAATAGCTGTATAATAAATGTTTGCTTATACAATTTAAGCTCACACTTTTTTTTTTTTTTTTTAAGATTGATTTATTTGAGAAGCAGACTTAGAGATGGGGGTGGGAAGGCGGGGGAGAGAGATCTTCAATCCACTGGTTCACTTTCCAATTGGCTGCAATGGCCAGAGCGGGGCCGATCTCAAGCCAGGAGCCAGGAGCTTCATCCAGGTATCCCACATGGGTTCAGGGACCCAGGGACTTGGGCCATCCTCTGCTGCTTTTTCCAGGCCTGTTAGTTGGAAGTTGGATTGGAAATGGAGCAACCAGGACCCTAGTTGGCACCAATATGAGATGCCAGCGCTGCAGGCGGAGGCTTAGCCTACTATGCCACAGCGCCACAGCACCACAGCCGGATTCTAAAATAATCATTTTTGTTATGCAGGTTTTCTTGCAGGCAGTGGCTTTACCTGCAAAGCCACAGTGCAGGTTTCACTCATGCTTTCTAAATTCTGAATGCAGTAAAAACCCCCAGCCCCCAATCCGCAGATATGCTTTCCCACTCTTTGTTAACTGTATTTACAGTTTCAAAATATTAAGTGGAAAATTCCAGAGAGGAGGAAAGACCACATTCATGCAACTTTTATTACAGTATATTGACATAATTGTTTTGTTTTTTTTTAAAATGTATTAAAGAGGGAGACAGAGAGAGTGAGGGAGAGAGAGAGCTTCCATTCACTAGTTCACTCCCCAAATACCTGCAGCTATTCAGTCTTGGCTGGAGCCAGAGCTGGGAGGCAGGAATTCAATGCAGGTCTCTCATGTGGGTGGCAGGAACCCAATTATTTGAGACATCCCCTCTACCTTCCAATGTCTGCATTAGAAGGAAACTGGAATCAGAAGCTGGAACCAGGAATTGAACCCGGATCCTCCATTGTGGAATTTGAGCATCTTAACTCCTAGGCTAAACTTCCACTCCCACTGCACTTAATTTATAAATTAAACTTTATCCTAAGTATAGGGGAAAAAAGTAGGATTTGTTATGATCAGTCTTTTCAGGAATCCATTGGGAGTGTTGGAACATATTCTCCTTGGATGAGGGGGACTATGATATATGAGACTACAAATCATGTTATATGTACTAGATAATCATAAAGTTGTACATTGCCTCGCATTTGTGTTCTCTCAAAATTTCAAAAACTAAGAAACATTTCTAATGTAGCATACAAATTTGTTTATCATTGGGCCAGCGCCATGGCTCAATAGGCTAATCCTCTACCTAGCGGCGCCAGCACACCAGGTTCTAGTCCCGGTCGGGGCGCCGGATTCTGTCCCAGTTGCCCCTCTTCCAGGCCAGCTCTCTGCTGTGGCCAGGGAGAGCAGTGGAGGATGGCCCAAGTGCTTGGGCCCTGCACCCCATGGGGAGACCAGGAAAAGCACCTGGCTCCTGCCTTCGGATCAGCGCGGTGCACTGGCCGCGGCAACCATTGGAGGGTGAACCAACGGCAAAGGAAGACCTTTCTCTCTCTCTCACTGTCCACTCTGCCTGTCAAAAAAAAAAAAAAAAAAAAAGGTTGAATGAAGCATTTCCACTCAGAAAGATTATGTGGTTTAGGACTTAATGAGACACACTGAATATGATTCGACCTGATAAACTTATTACTTTGCAATCAGTCCTAAAAAGGTGGACATAATCAAATGGCAGTGTATAGATGTATGTTGTTAACTTCCTGTTTTCTGTAGTAACTGATAGTTCTAGAGTCAGGTAGCAAAAACACATGTATCTCGGGGCCCGTGCTGTGGATAGCAGGTAAAGCCACTGCCTGCAGTGCCGTTATCCCATGTGGGTGCTGGTTGGAGTCCCAGCTGCTTCACTCTGATCCAGCTCTCTGCTATGGCCTGGGAAAGCAGTGGAAGATGGCCCAAGTTCTTGGGCCCCTGCATCCATGCGGGAGACCTGGAGGAAGCTCCTGGCTGCTGGCTGCAGTCTAGACCAGCCCTTGCCATTGTGGCCATTTAGGGAGTGAACCAGTGGATGGAGGACTTCTCTCTCTCTCAGTCTCTGCCTCTCTGTAACTCTGCCTTTTAAATCAATCAATCTTTAAAAAACTATACATGTATCTCAAAAGTAGCCAGATACTGTAATATGCCTCTTGACTTGCTTGAGACTAAAGGACCCCCATTATATTATAAAACCCCTTGAGGGCCAAAGTATATCCTATACTTTTGCCTCCCTTTTTTTTTTTTTAAATATTTGTTTATTTACTTAAGAGGCAGTGTTACAGACAGAGAGGGAGAGACAGAGAGGTCCTCCATCTGCTGATTCACTTCCTAAATGGCCTCAGCAGCTGAAGCTGAGCTGATATGAAGCCAGCAGCCAGGAGCCAGGAGATTCTTCTGGGTCTCCCATGTGGGTACAGAAGTCCAAACACTCAGGCCATCTTCTACTGCTTTACCAGGCCATCAGCAGGGAGCTGGATCAGAAATGGAGCAGCCGGGACTAGAACTGGTGCCCATATGGCACCTACTTATCATTTCATTCTATGAAATCTTAGTATCTTGCTGTTTAGAACTTTCTTCCCTTTAAGATAAAACATTATAGTGGGCCAGCGCCGTGGCTTACTAGGCTAATCCTCCGCCTTGTGGCACCGGCACAACGGGTTCTAGTCCCGGTCGGGGCGCCGGATTCTGTCCTGGTTGCCCCTCTTCCAGGCCAGCCCTCTGCTGTGGCCAGGGAGTGCAGTGGAGGATGGCCCAAGTGCTTGGGCCCTGCACCCCATGGGGAGACCAGATAAGTACCTGGCTCCTGCCATCAGATCAGCGCAGTGCGACGGCCGCAGCGGCCATTGGAGGGTGAACCAATGGCAAAAGGAAGACCTTTCTCTCTGTCTCTCTCTCTCACTGTCCACTCTGCCTGTCAAAAAAAAAAAAATTATAGGGCACATGTAGTGATATCAGAGTATATCACTGTACTTGGAAATACTGTCCTAGAGTATGACTGCAAATCGTTTCAACTCTCCATGTTGTACTTTTCCCATCAGTAAAATGGAAAGGCATAATAGTGTAAATCTAGAATGGAGAGACCCTAAGGCGTCATCCATGCCTGGCACATATTAACAAGTATTTTATAAATGTAGTTACTATAAATGTTTTTCTTTCACTACGGCTCACAGTCAAAAGTAGTTTTCCTACTGTTTCCCACATCTTGGTTTTGGATTGTGAAGAGAGGTAAGAGTTACAGAACTCCTTCTGGTTTTGAGTGTTTAGAGCCCTCCATGTTGCAGAAACACTTCCTTCTGTGTTGAAAGAAAGGGGAGGGGATGAAGCATTGCTTAATGTATACCCCAAAAGGGAGGATTCTGGTCTCCTGCAGACAGAATAATCCTAAAATAAGGAGAAGTTACACAAGGGAGTATGTGGGCAAAGTGCTTATAAACTGAAGTACTGTGTAGGTAATGTATTCCAAGGCATGTTGTCTCCTCATTATTTAATACATTGTCCTATCTAGTCACTGGAAGTTTTCCTGAGAACCTGTTAAATGTGCACAATTCATTATCAACCTTTTGACTTGACAAATTTTTTTAAAAACTTTTATTTAGTAAATATAATTTCCAAAGCACAGTTAATGGATTACAATGGCTTTTTCCCCCCATAACTTCCCTCCCACCCGCACCCCTCCCATCTCCCACTCCCTCTCCCATTCCATTCACATCAAGATTCATTTTCAATTATCTTTATATACAAAAGATTGATTTAGTATATATTAAGTAAAGATTTCATCAGTTTGCACCCACACAGAACATAAAGTGTGAAATACTGTTTCAGTACTAGTTATAGCATTACTTCACATTGGACAACAAATTAAGGACAGAGATCCCACATGAGGAGTAAATACACAGTGACTCCAGTTGTTGACTTAACAATTTGACACTCTTGTTTATGGCGTCAGTAATCACCTGAGGCTGTTGTCATGAGTTATGGAAGCCTTTTGAGTTTGCCAACTCCAATCTTATTTAGACAAGGTCATAGTCAAAGTGGAAGTTCTCTCCTCCCTTCAGAGAAAGGCACCTCCTTCTCTGATGGCCCGTTCTTTCCACTGGGATCTCACTTACAGAGATCTTTCATTTAGGGTTTTTTTTTTTGTTGTTTTGTTTTTGTTTGTTTGTTTGTTTGTTTTTGCCAGAGTGTCTTGGCTTTCCATGCCTAAAATACTCTCATGGGCTCTTCAGCCAAATCCGAATGCCTTAAGGGCTGATTCTGAGGCCAGAGTGCTCTTTAGGACATCTGCCATTCTATGAGTCTGCTGTGTATCCCACTTCCCATGTTGGATCATTCTCTCCCTTTTTTATTCTATCAGTTAGTATTTGCAGAGACTAGTCTTGTTTGTGTGATACCTTTGACTCTTAGACCTATCAGTGTGATCAGTTGTGAACTGAAATTGATGGTGAGATGGCATTGGTACATGCAATCTTGATGGGATTGTATTGGAATCCCCTGGCACATTTCTAACCTCACCATTGGGGCTAGTCCAGTTGAGCATGTCCCAAATTGTACATCTCTTCTCTCTCTTACTCCTACTCTTATATTAACAGGGATCACTTTTCAGTTAAATTTCAACACCTAAGAATAAATGTGTGTTAATTATAGAGTTAAACCAATATTATTAACTAGAACAAAAAAATACTAAAAGGGATAAAGTATTAAATTGTATATCAACAGTCAGGACAAGGGCTGATCAAGTCACTGTTTCTCTTAGTGTCCCTTTCATTTCAGCAGGTTTCCTTTTTTGTGGTTAGTTGTCACCAGCAAATTTAAATTTAATTTTATTTACTAAGACCCAAAGGTTTACTGTTTCACCATTTTTTTCATTTATCTTTTAAATAAGATTTATTTACTTGCAAGTCAGAGTTATAGAGAGGGAGGGAGGGAGGGAGGGAAAATGAATGAATGAACATCTTCTATCCTCTGGTTCACTCACCAACTGCCTGGCCAGAGCTGA